AGAGAGAGAGAGAGATAAATCCGAAAAGTTCTGTTTTTAATTTAATCTTCAATTTAAAAGAATTTCAAAATTGTTGTACTTTCCCTTCTTTCGTTCAGCCAACAGAGATTATTACACAACCCGCAAAGAGAGTAATCTAAAATAAAAATATATCTGTCCTATATATTATTTCTAATATTAACTAAAGTTCTAAATGGCAAAGAATTTTACGATGATTAGAACGTCGTGCGAAATGTCTGTGGAATATATTGAGATAACAAGGAATACACACACAGGCTGTCTAACAAGAGCGGATGAAATCTGCAGTTGAAATCTCGCTGGCAAAGCCGATTAGCTAGTTACTTTGCGTTTCCTTTCGCGAGCTCACGTCACGGCGAAAGAATATCAAGATAAGATCAAATTTGTATCATGACGCGGCTTAAGCCGCGAATTAGGATTTGCATAACGAAATGCACGAACTGCCCTTGCAGCAGGCAGCTAATTCTTTAGGGATTGCACGAACGTAAAATCAAGTAAATGTGTTCAGGAAACCTCTTAGGCAAAACTGGACTATATCAAAGATGAATCAAGCTTAAACAATATCTGGTCTTGATGCTTTTAAGATAGTTAGCTCTCTTTCTCTTTTTTTTTTTCCCCAGACAATATGACATGACCTATATAACCATTATTTTAAATATAAATTCCATATCAACTGTTTTATTTGGAGAATCTCAGTCGTCGATTCATAACAGAGTGATATCTCACAACCAGTGAGATTGTATGTGTGAAATTGTAGAAGTGAAGTTTTATAAAAATAGTACTCATATTCGTAATGGTACTAATATTTTTTGACATGCAACGAATTGTTGCGAGAATAGAATGGAACACAATTATCAACTGGGACATTTAATTAAATGTAGTGTCCTCTTTCGAATATAGATTCTAGATATGTATTATTCTTTCTAAGACAAGAATATCCAGTTTTTATTGAATATATTACAGCCAACGTAATCAGAACTGTGACTATAGTTATCTATGAATAGACTTTCCCTGAATTCCAGTTTACATCTATCGTACGGTAGTTGAATTAGGCCGGAAGAAGCGTCCTAACGAATTTCCGGATAGACCGACGTTCCGTTTCCGTTAGATGGAAGCGTGACACTGGCTCACCCCGGGCGGAAATATCGAAAATCGAATGATGATATTGAATCATTTCGAGAGCGGATCCACGATTATCGGCGCATGCTGTGTCAGCGGAAGAGACATTAAATGATATTTCTTGCCGTTTCTGGCTGGTTGCGCAGCTCGTATCGACAGCAATCGTTTCGCAATAAGAGTTAATCGATTAATTTTCCTTCACTTTGATTCTGTTCCTTTTCTTGATTCTTGTAGACGCGCACGGACCAGTGACTTTCTTATCGAATTGCAATCGATTCCGAAGAGGTGAAGCAAGGTAGAGCAATAAAACGACACATTTTTCATTGTGGAAAAGAAAGATCGTATATAATCGTTTTACGTAATCTAACGCAAATATCTATCGCGATGAAGATGGATATCAGTATTTTCGTATATCGCTAAATATAAAATCTCTATTGCCGGACAAGAATTGCATGCATTCGTTCTATTCGATGTAAAAAAAACCTATTAGAATGCAAATTGCTAGCTTTAGCTTAGTAAGAAATCACGTTGGAATTGTTGGGTCGAAGTAGAAGCAAGAAATGGATCTTATATATAATAGGTTTTATATGAAACTCAATATGTGCCTTAGGAGTATAAATTATACACAGATGTATCTTCGAAAGAGAGAAAACAATCTAGAAAAGCCGACATGTGCCAAGAGGTTTTGTTCGGTTTTGCGGTCTGGAGGACGCCCCTGCAGTTTCGGGGGCATTCAGTACAGTTCAGCTTGGAAGCAGATAAAATCGACTTTCCTGGTGGCGATGACGTGGTCGATCCTTAACTGCATGCTATTTCGAGATTTTCACCGTTTCGGCTAGAAAATATCCCGCGAAATCTTCGGGTCGGGGCGGCGAAACGAAACGCTGAAGTCACGCAGGCCCTCGCGCGCGACCTCGAAGATAATAAAGCGCAGATATTACATCCTAAATCACGAAGAGTCAAATCGATATTCCACGTTAATCGGCCGGTTGCTTTCGACTTCCGCTGTAAATCTGACAGTGCTTAACTGTAATTTAGATGAATTAAGGGCAACAATATATGCGCCCTCAATATAAAAGGTCGACTCGAGAACTCGCTTGGAAACTCTAAGAGATATCGAAAAATTGTTCATAGGAGAGAACTTTTTCTTGCAATATCGCATCTTGATTGATCATTAATATCTATTTAACAGCGGAGATTTTAAATGTTTTTTTGTTAACTCTGCTATTAAATATTTAATCTGTAAAATCCAATAATCAGTTTTCTTCTCTTTAATCGTATTTTCTTCCTAATTTTATAATAATCGATAAACATGTTTTATGAAGATATAAAGTGGTATTAGATATTCTTTTACAAATATATTATGAAAGCGATTTAAATAATATGTAACAAATGCGACAACCGCAATTCTCACAAATTTTTGACGCTTGGCATTTAATGATATTTAAGAGGGGAATGTCTGACTTGCAGGAGTTGAAGGTGATGGCACGTACCACGCGCCCTCGACAAAAAATGGCGAACACGACTGATTCACCCGCGACGACCGGGGGCAGCCTTCTTTCGTCCTCGACGACGACGCCGTTTACCACCTCGTCGACATCAGCGGCGACTTATTCGAGCGAAGGCTACCCTTTCAACTATAGCGGTCTGCCGAACCTAGGCGGCTATTCGCTGGACGATTTCAACTACACGGAACTATGGTCGGACGTCTGGAACGGCACCGAGGTCAGCAATGTCACCGAAAGGCTAAACGCGACGGTGTTGATGCCGGGTGGCTATTGCGACGAATGGGAAGCTGCTCAGCATAAGCTCTTTCAGGTAAAAATGAGCTTTGAAGATATTGAGACTGGAAATGTTTGTCTTTTTAAAATTTTATATAAATTTTTCTTTATGTAATATGAGTAACAATTAATGTCCCCGATATGTCTCTTTTTCAAAAAATTCCATAAAAATTTTATGGAAACAATTGAAACAATTTGAATGAACAAAATGAACAAAATGCTTTAATAATTAGAACTTTTAAATATTTTCTTGAAACATAGATTTATTATTGACTACGTTAATTTCAGGCAGCAAATTTATTTTTTGCGGCTGCATTTCTGGTGCCGCGCTCGTTCAAGGCTTCCGTCTTGGCTCTTCGCACATTCCTCACGGCGGGTTTCATGTTGGCGGCTCTTTGGGCCGGGTTCACCATATGCGCTCTGGACGCCATGTTATGGTGCTTAGCCCTCGGATTGTTGAATGGCATTCACTCGTTGATACTCGCCTGTCGATTCCTACCCCCGGCTCTTAGTCCCGAACTAGCTGAGCTCTATCTGAAGCTCTTCAAGCCCTATAAGGTCAGCAAGAAGCATTTCCAGGAGCTGGCGAAAGAAGCGAGGATACTCAAGTTGGATTCTGATCAGACCTATGCAACGGAAGGGGTTACGCCGGCGGATAGAAGGCTATCTATTCTTTTACGTGGGAAGTGGGTATCCTTCTTTTTAATTAAAAATTAATTCTCTTCGAATGGAGGCGTTATTTCTTGTAAAAGAGTGCTGATCCTATCTGAAATTGAAAGCTAATTGAAACTGAATTAATACAGACGCTAATATCCTTTTATTTTATCTCTGCGACCTGGAATAATCATTAATATCAGAAATATAATTTTAAAACTTTTATATCTTTCTTTTAAAACTTTTAATCTCTTTTTATTTGCTGCATTAATTCATTAGTAAAGGAGATTTTATCGAGTCGTTTTTTTTTTTTTTTTTTCGAGGATAAAAATGATAAAGGTACGACTTTGATGTTTCACTTTAATTTCAGATTGAAGGTAACCTGCGACGGAACTCACTTACACTATATCAGAGCCTACCAATTCGTCGATTCGCCCGAATGGGAGGCTACACACGAAAACGATGCCGACGTCTTCCAAGTGACGATACGAGCCGAGGAGCCCAGCACGTACATCTGTTGGACGAGAATGAAATTGCTCAGAGTGCTCCGGCATAGGCCACTGCTCAAGGTCGTTCTCAACACCCTCATCGGTAAGGACATTACGTCCAAGTTGTACGCCCTTAACGAGCAGCTCGCTGGTGTCGCGAGCGCCAGTGAGAACGCCACGTCGAATCCTTACAGGGGAGTCACGAGGAGTCTCAGCGTCGATGCCGTTAACACCGAAACCGCCGGAAGGGTTCGATCGACGACCTGGAAAACGCACAAGCAGTATAGCAATTCGCGTAGTGACAGTAAGTAATTGCAATCTTTTCCATTTTTTTTCTGTGATAAATTAAAGATCGATTTTTTTTTAATCTATATATAATTTTTGTATTATCCTTGGACTTTGAGCTTTAATATCTTACGTCATGAAGCTGTGAAAAGTATCTTGCCGTAACATTTGCCTTCACCAAGACCTTCAACAATTTAGTTTACATAATCAATCATACTACAAGGGATGTATTCCCTCGCTCGTGATTCGAAAAAGGTTAACCTTTTAAAGGCTATCCTTACCAAGGTAGTCGTAATTTGTCTGTCTTCAGGGGAATTCCTCGGTCCGGTATTCGCATCAGTACTGGGCGCCGGTAGTGGCGAACCATTTCCCGGCGACCTCGCCGTTCATTCAAAGCGAAAACCTCGGCTACTCATTACTGCCGCAGGGTATCCAGTTCTCGCCGCCCCCGCGAGCACCCGCGCTGTCCCATCACCCCCCCGTGGCGCGACAACGAAGCGGGGGTGCTGGCGGCGATTACACCCTGCTACCTCAAACACCGAAGCTCGAGAGGAAACGATCGAGAAAAGGGACTAGAGAGGTAAGTTGATTTCATTTATTGACTTCGTTACGTCGACTTCGTTACGGAGAGACGATAGAAGATCGAGTGCTATCCCGTGGCGCAGGATATGCAGTGACTTATTTTTAGATCAAACAAAAGCAAGATACATGCAAATTTTAAAAACGAAATCCATAAAAAAGCGTATGTCCATAAAAGAGTGATATCTTTTTTTATTTTCTGGAAATTTAATTAAACGTTAATTAATTCCCCATTCCTTTTATGTTTGCTGAATTTAATATCAAATATTAATGCTGAATTAAAATAAGAATACATGCAAATAATTTTTATATAAGATCTTTTTATTTTAATAATAAAAAAGAAATATATCGCCATCATTGATGCTGTCTCTCTCTCTCTCCAAGCACTTGGGCTGTATTATATTTGTTATTACAAGCAAGTTAAAGCTATTCTGATCGTCCGAATATACTTTGTTCGCCAACTTGTGTCTAAGTATATCGAGATATTTGCAGACTCTCCTTTAGCAAACGTGCCTGAATTGTCTAGTACGCTTCAGTGCACCGTATTAGAGGGACGAATTACAATTTCTAATATTGTAATTATACTGTCTTACTGTGTTTAACTATAGATACTTCTCCGTTCACGTTTACGCTTACTGTAGCTTCGGCCGATTTAGAGATAGCAGATCGGAATCTACTTTAACGACTTTAACAGTTTGACAAAACAGACATTTAACACACATACATGCTACCAAGCTACGACTTAACGATAAACCAAGATATTTGTACTTACTGTGCTTTAACAAAATAAAAATTTCAATCTTTGCACTCGGTCTGTCAACGCGATATCGTGTTGTTATTTTAGACAAAAAGAAAAATTCAATGTCCACAGATCGATTTTTCTTCGATGTCATAAATCATTCTTGTCGTTTTTCTATCTTTATCATAGATATTATAAAATAATCGTTCCAGGTAACCTTCGAGACACCGGTATGACGCTCGCCCGACGGGGAAGGCCCTGCCAGCGTGCCTCTACTCTCACTGTCGCCGCAACGCTCCGCCTAGCCCCGTCGTGGTCTCGTCATCATCCTAAGGCACGCCGCAAAACTCGCCCTTTGAACTTCCGGTTCGACGCGATACCAACGAATGGCCTACTCCCTTGGAAGGAAGGGGGAGAACGCGACGGTCTTGATATCCCACGGATTACGCCTCGGTACCACGAGATTCCTTGGCACCGCAGAATCGTAATCGTAGGAGAGAGCGCGCGCGGGTAGGCGAAGTTGCTGTGGGCGCAGTTTTGATGTGTGCGATTGATTTTCATATCTTGCAAGTGCCACGCCTTACAGAGAGACACGCACGCACGTGTGAAATCGAAACCGCGATGGCGGCCGTTGAGAGAAAAAAAAAAAAAAGAATATATATTTCGATGTCTTTCGACCGTATTCGGGAGCATCCGTCGGGGTTTCGGAGTAGACCCGAAATACGGTCGAATGTTGAGAAGGGAACGTGAATGAGAGGTAGAATAAGAGAGAGAAATCGTGAACGAAAGATTAAATATAAATATATTGTATTAATGAGCATCGCCTCTGTGTACACTTTTACATCGACTGTGATTACAACGGATATAATTATTAAGTCTTTCAGAGAAACGCTGATTATATACACATACAGAAAAACACGTGCGTAATTAGCTGCCGCGATAATCATGCAAGCCATATCTCGCATTTGCGTGAGTTGAGGTGTCCTTCGTAACGATTTCGGTTTCGATACTCTTAGAAATTGCTAATTTTAAAAATCCTTATCCTGTTTTTCTATCTATCAAGTTTCTATCTACCAGTCCAATGTCTTTTTTATTTGTATAAGCACTGACTCTATAAATCGCCAAGATTATGCAACTGCATATTCTCGATACAAAAATAACATTTGATTACCACGTATTATTAGCGAAGGACATCCGAACAGCGCAAATAGATCGGGATCGTTGTATAAAATTAGTGCATAAAATGCGCATTCACGATAAATGTGATATGTCGAGAAAACACGCAGCAGTTTCTATCCAACACGGGCGAACGGAAAATTGCATTTGCACACCCCCTTAATCAAATGTAAAACGCGTTAAATAAATAAAGAGAAAAAAAAAATTGTAAAAGTGAAATGAAAAGCAAGCCGAATAACCCAGGTGTAAAAAACAAATAAGTGCTTCGTTAAAAAAAAGAAAACCTGCAATAAAGTGCTTCAAAAAATGTAGTTGATGGCGAGATGCAAATTATAAAAAGCAAAGTTTAATTATTCACGCAAATTAAACGAAAAAAAGCTAACATGCGTCGTGCGTGATAGACATGTAGAAGAAAAGAAAAACATGTGTGTTTGTATGTTTCTATGTTTATATAATCACCGCGTGTGAGAGTGAAGCCGTAGAAGATCAATAAAGACGCACAAACAATTAAACAAAAATCGTAGAAGGGGATAAACTTAATTAAAACGGCTGTGTAGAGTCGAGTATAAATGTTAAATACAAAAAGTGACTGTAGAATATTGTAATGTTATGGAGGATTGCGTGAAGTTTTAAGAGAGGCGCACGTCGGAAAGGATCGTCGTTGTTTAAAGTAGAAGTTACTTTCGTCAAATCAGACGAGATCGTTGTAATATTCTATTATTACGTAGTTGCTTTCGTAAAAGCTGAACGTGTATACATATATAGCGAGTATGGAAACTTTATATATTTGTAACAATCGAAATTTAAAAGACTGAGTTGCTGCTACAACTTTGTTAGTTCTGGGTGATATCTACAGTGATTTTAGATTTGATTAACAGTCAGAGGGAATTTGTTGAATTACTTCTAGAATTAATTTGAATTTCGAACTCTCATTTGCAAGACTGATCTATTTTCCGACGTAGACAAGAGCCTAAAGTACGAAAGAATCCGTTTGAATGATCTTTGTCGACGTCGTGTTGAGAAAATAAATGTAAGCAGAGCAAATTGCGCAAGGCGGATAACAGCAGCGACACATCAACATCACGACATTATATGTTATTATTATTTACAATTACAATATGTTCGTTGACTATTATGTTAGAAATAAAAACTGCATTGAAAAACGTGAAGTGTAATAAGACATAAAATCCACCATCTTCTAATCCTTATTTTTCCTTGCAATATTATAAGATAACAGAATAATAAATCCAGAATTCATAAATCATAAATTACATTTTCAGATAAAAATTATAAAGATAAAAATAAAACAATAATTTACAAATTATTTCCAAAGCAATATATTTTTATTAACAAATATTTATAAATTAATACAGTTTTAAATACAAAAGGATAACATATAAAAAATATCAAATGTAACAAAAAAACATGTAACACAAATATCTAAACTAAAATTTAACTTTATAAATTCTTCATATTGTTATAAAATTTTTCATATTATTGGATTATAACATATGTTAGAAAGTAAAAACTAACAATTGATTATTTGACTTTTAATTGTTATTAAGCTGGTATACTTTCAGCTCATCATTGTTATCGTCAATATAATCAGCATCTCGCGGAGGATCTATAGTATGCAGACGCTCGTAGGGATATTTCTCCTTTTCCTTTTTAGGAAGTTCCTTCCTTTGTGGAAGTTGTATAACTATGACATAAGGTTTATCATGTTCCGATGTATCTACCGAATCATGATGGGGTGCATATCTGCATATTTAAATAATTAAAATAAGTATGTATACAAACCATACACACATACAATTTTTATTGTTGTTTATCTTAATCGCTTATATATATATATATATATTAGGTGTACAAAAAAGTTCTGAGTTTTAGATTTCATACAACCGAAATAACAATTTAAATTTTATATATCTTCCCGCCCTTTTGCGGTTTTAAAGCGTTGACATTTGGCCTTCTAAAATGCCATACGGTTTGGCGTTTGATGCACATAACCTCAAAAATCAGTAGTGTCCACGATAGCAATAACAAAAGAGCATATTCGATTTTCCATCCACTTCGCGTTTCATCTGAAGAAAAATGCTGCTGAAGCCACTGCAATGATTTGTGCTGCATATGGAGAGATCGCTGTAAGTCATACTACATGTAAAAGATGGTATCAAAAATTTCGCTAAGGAGATTTCAGATTTCTTGAAGATGAACCGCATGCTGGACGCCCTCAAAAAATTGAAACGGACGAATTGCAAGCACTACTGGATATAAAGCTTGGCAGCTGTTCGCAAGCTCCTTTTCAGTTTCCGCAGAATTTATATCCAGCAGTGCTTGCAATTCGTCCATTTCAATCTTTTGAGGGCGTCCAGCACGCGGTTCATCTTCAAGACTGAAATCTTCTTGGCGAAATTTTTGATACCATCTTTTACATGTAGTATGCCTTACAGCGTTACGCAGCAAACCATTTCCGTACGTTTACATACGATGGGAAAGGTTCAGAAGGAAGGCAGATGAGTTCCGCATGAATTGTCCGAAGACAACAAAAATCGTCGGCGTGACACTGCACTCACTTTGTTTTCAAAGGAAAAAAGATTTTCTGCACAAAATCATTACAGGCGATGAAAAGTGGATTCTTTATGATAACCCTAAACGTAGAAAATCATGGATTGACCCTGGTCAACCAAAGCCCAATATCCACGTCAAGAAGGTTTTGCTCTGTATCTGATGGGATTGGAAAGGTGTGTTGTATTACGAGTTGTTACAACCGGGTAAAACAATCACGGTAGATCGCTACCAACAACAATTGAGCGACCAATTTGAGCGATGCATTAGAAAGAGGCCATTTACTGGCCAAGGACGTCGTAAAGTGATCTTGCTTCATGACAATGACCACATGTTGCGAAAGCGACTCAGGACCATATCTTTGCGTTAGGCTGGGAACTTCTCCCGCACGCGGCGTATAGCCCAGACATGGCGCCTTTCGATTACTACCTATTCCGATCGCTGCAGCATCATTTGGCTGATACACATTTCGTGAGATTTGAAGAGATACGAAAATGCATTGATGACTTTATCGCTCCGAAGTTAGCTTCTATCGTCAAGGAATTCGCAAGCTACCCGAAAAATAGCAAAAGTCGTTGATGCAAACGGGGAATATTTCGCTGATTAATATTTTTTTTGTTTGTTTTTGAATAAAGCTTGAATTTTACAAAAAAAGCTCAGAACTTTTTTGTACACCTAATATATATAATTAAAATAAAACAATAATAAAAAGTATTATCAGTAAAAATATACCCAATAAAGATGAAATTTTTAACAAAGTATAATTTTACCTGTGATACTCTTGTTCTGGTTCGTAATAATGATACTTTTGTGATGGCCCTCTTTTGGAATGATAATGTTTCCGATGTTTTGGAAATGGATGCCATCTTGGACGTCGCCATGAATGGGGATTATGATATTTATATGCTTTAATTTTATAATTTTCACTAAATTTCACTAATTCCAATATTAGACCAATAAGCATAATAATCACATATAACTAAAAATTATTATCAACATGTTACAATAAAATTAATATCGATTTTCATTTATTAAAAGGAATCTACGTTATTACTACGTTTGATATTAATTAATTAACTTACCTTCATTTTATAGAATGTACAATATGTTTCTTTTAATTTTTTAAATATAATTGTAGCTCCAATGTATGCAATTTGCTTTAATTAATTAAATTGCTAATTAAATAAATATATAGTTAGAATGATATTTTCTAGATACTTTTTTCATTTTAATGGTCATCTTCTTTTCCATGAACTAATAAAAGAATATTTATCAATTATCACTACCTATTAATTTATCTCTTTAAAGTAATTATTTTTACTTTTAATTGAGTCACCTTAATAATTTTGCAACTAACAATTCCGTATCACACATTTAAAAAGCATAAAATGTGAAATCGTTAGATATCGATATTCTTTGATTTGAAATCGTTATATTATCGTTATATTATTTTATTTTTGGAATCAAATTTAGGACATATTATATTAGCACTTAAAGTTTTGATGAAGAAAAATGTTCACACGTAGTCAGACGAAACCTTCATGGATAGAAATCAGACTGAACTCGAAAGTCTTCGAGCAGAAGACTTTATATCTTCCCTTCCTATTCCCTATTTCTCTTGAAGCGACTAAAGAGACATGTGTACAATGACACAAATGTCATCATAACGATGACTAATTTTGCTACAATCTTAATAAAGCAAAATTTCTAAGAAAAATATGAACGTAAAACAAGCTTATTACTTCACACGTAAACGGACAAATAAATATTTCATAAAAAGATATCATTAAATAGTACAAAGCACAAAGATATCATTTAATAGTTCAAAGCTTGTTTTGAAAAAATTAATGACATTAATGTACAATAATTCAAGAAATGAAAGAATTGTATTTAAAGAAAGCCTATTAGATATAAATTTCATGCATTACACAAGGTTTATATTACATAAAATAAATACTTTCTCTGTGACTCAAATTTATAAAATATTAATATATTCCTTAATTTTGTAGACACACACAAAAATAATCAAACTGTACAATATTACTGGACAATTGAAATAATCAAACTGTACAATATTACTGGACAATATTAATTTTTTTCGAAAATTGCAAAAGCAATATTAAATTTAATATAATTAAATTGTTTAATATAATTAAATTAATTTAATATAATTAAATTCAACTTAATACGATATTAATTCCCTATGATAATTAGAAAAAGTATATATAAATATATAAAATCTCAAAAAACGTTCTATTTTTAATATAAATTAATGTTAAAATAATTTATTTACAATTTAAATTGATTTTATTAAAGTAAACATTAAATCTGAGAGAAACGTAGAAGAAATGTTTACATTAAAAAATAATTATAAGTGACAAGTCGTAAATCGAGCGGAGTGAAAAGTTAACGAGGACATTCATAAAGGTACTTTCAAGATACTTTCAACAAGGAACGCATGGTAATGCGCGTGATAATGCGCGCGTTCACTTTCGAAGATTTCTTTAAGCTGTAAAATGCTCATTATTTTGAATGATGATGCTGTTGTGTTGTCTATTTCATCAATCTAGTCACAATCAAGAGTCTGCTTAAGCTCTTCAAAACTTTCTCTTTCTAATTATAAAGCAAGATCGTAATTGGATTTAAAATAAAGATTAAAAGATATTTTAATATATTTCACAGAATTTTATTTAACTTATAGAAAATTTCAAAACATAACTATACCAGAACATAACTATAACATTACAAAATGTATTTCTACAATTACATTTATAATTTTGTTAATATAAGTTTGCGCATAATTAGTAGATGTATAATAAATACATCTTATTATTGCGTATTATTGTTTTTCATTATTTTGCGCTGAATAATTATAGTTGCCTTTACAGCTTATAATAAATTGCAATAAGAATGTCTATTGAAGTATAATAGTATTTGTATTAATTATTTAAACAAAGTATATCATCTTAAGAAGATATGTTCTCGTATAAAAAAGCGCATGTATATAAACGTGTAAATAAGTATATAATTTAATAAGTTAGAGCTAACGATGCATTTTAACTACACGTAGCTTACTTCGTATTGTATACTTTCGCTATAATTTCACGACTAAGTATAATACTTTGCGCTTTGAAGAATATATGTACGAACATTAATCATATATTCACATGTATTTGAATCTTCGTAGCACTTATGGTAATGTAAATGTTACTGTGTTTAAAAATTTCCAGCATAAATAATCAAAAAAGTTTCTTGGAAGCTGTAAAAATGCATAAAAAAATCTTTCTGCAATCTCAATAATTGCGTATAGTAAATGTAAATTACCAGTTTATAAAAATGCTTATATTAGCTTTAATTCTAAATTAGAAGTTTAAGAAAAACAATGAAAAAATGAAATTCAAAAATGGAAATAGTAATAGAAGATCTCAAAAATGAAAAACGGTTAGAAAAAAATGACTTCAAACTTTAATCTATTTATAAAACTGTCTAATGGTACAATCGCTACGATGATTAGCAGTCGATCACTACCAATAATATTATCGATAGATTTTATTTTACGACAGCACTTGAATACTTTCTATAAGCGATGATCGCGTCGTCACTTGTACACGCAGATCAAACATTTTGCAAACTTAAATAAATTTTATAAATAATTATATAATAACTCAGAATCTATTGTTGTTGTCACATGCACATTTTCTATTCATTGTATACTTCTAAGAATTATCTTGGCTATAATAAAATACACTGGTATCTTTCTTCATTATAATCCAAGCTAATTATCAGTTAGACATGATAAATCAACCAAACTATAACTGGATTGTATCCAAGCTGATTGAACCATAGACAATGTTTCGATCTAGCGATCTACAATGTTCTAATATCTAGCACCAGGCTAATTGATTGTACGCTACACATTTGTGTCTTGGGGCTCGGTACAGTCAGTGGGTTTGATCTCCAACCACCAGTCATTGGGATAATGATACTTTTGTAATTCTATGCCTTCTCGTGGCACGGGCATCAGTCGTCCGCCAAATTGTTTCGCTGGTAGAGGAGGTATTACTAATTGCGGTGGAAAGCACTGTAGACTCGGTGAAAACTCGCAATCTGGAGGCAGGACTCTTCTGGTCCAGCCAACCCTTCTCACCATCTGCGTCTGCAAGCGTCGTTAAGATTAAATTTTTCCAAAGTATTAATATTATGGCGTCTCCGTTAAGTTTCTTTTTTTTCTATTTTCATCATCTTTTCATTTTAAATAAAACATCTTAAAAAGGATTTTTAGCGGAAGCGTGTGCGCGCGCGCGCGTGTGTGTGTGTGTGTGTGTGTGTGTGTGTGTGGGGGGGGAGGTGGATTTACATTGCCGATTTATAGATCACTGACGCTGCCAAAGGAGTATCTTCGCTTATCCTACATACGAGATGCTATAAAGCGCACCGAGCAATCATATATTCCATAATTTTCTTCAATCTTCCATAAAAGCGTAAAAGTAACAACATATAAAGTGTCAAATTTACATTTGAATGCTAGATATATAAAACGCAACTGAATACAAATAGTGCTTTTAACGTAAAGGAAGAATCATTAAAGTTATAACTGGTAATTGGGATGACAATAAAACGCGAAGATATAAATGAAATATCTAAAGCAGATATTAACAAAAGTAGTATCTTTTATTTTTCACGTAAAACCGTAATCTTTAAGAAGAATAATTTATTTAAACACAAACGCATTTTTATTAACATAAAATTTATTTTAAACAAAATGCAAATAATTTTTTAAAGAACCTTACCACTGCATCTTCCTCGAAAACGACTACCTCCACCTTGGGTGCGTCCTCGCCGACCTCGTGCTCCTGTATCCTGTAGATTCCCGCTGCGTGAAGATAAGTTGCACTCAGTCCGACCTCCCGGAAGGCTTTCGTGATTAAGACATCGTCACGGAGCGTATCCACCAAACATAATTCCACTTTACGAGCCCACGGCAGTGCGCGGCCTATTCGAACTTGACCCCAAAGGCCGCCCAGACAGAGAAAGTGGACGATGCCCAATTTAGTAAGAACTAGGTGAGCCCTGGTGAAATCACGTACGTTTTGTTAATAGATGTTTTATATTAATATTTATAGTTAGATTACAAAATCCAATCAAAAAAATATTTTCTAATCTAACTTCTACTTTAGACTAATATAATTCAGAGTATATATAGAATATGTTATTAATTATATGTATTTTTCCGACTTAAAATTTATGATCGAGAAGAAGAGTGTGAATTATTAGATATTTAATATCTCTTGAATTGAATTTTTTGCTAATTTTTTTTTTTTATTTCAACATTTTATAAATACTGACCTATAAGCGAGATCATGTAATTTCTCGGTAAATTCTTCGGGCATACTACACGGTTGCTGCGGAATCTCTTGCCGACTGAGGCTATACCAGAACAGTACGACCATCAAGAAGAATGCCGCCAGAGCTCGCATAGGAGTGATGCGAAAGCGTCTCCGTGGACAGAAGCTCATGCTGATATCCTGGAAATTAAGGAATATGTAATGATTCGGTTAAGAGCTTCACTAATATTATCCGAGTCAATCTTTATACAATGTGTTTCTTCATGATAGTAAAAATCTTCGAGATATTTAATTTTTTTGAGGAAATCAATCAAGAAGATTACAATTTAATTTTTTTATATAGACTTGCGAATCTTCAAATTCCCTTTCCCGTTTATATTTCCGAAAACTTTCTTAAATCTAAGCTTCTAAGAGAGTTTATTTTAAATTTTATTATTTATATATTCTCGATATTATTAACTTATTGATTTGTATTTAACATTTTTTTTTATCTCAGAATTAATCGATCTTTTTATTATTTTTATTCCTTTGATTCTTCAAGTTTTCGATGATTTTCAAATTATGCTACCTTTGACTTTTGCAGAGTCTCAAGTGTTACTTTAAATGTTTTAATTCTTAAATTCTAAGAAGATAATATAATGTTCTTTAAAAATAAAATCCACATTTACTTTACCAATCTAATTGCGGTTATTTAAATAATTAACTAATATGTTTGCCGTGTTCAGGGTGAATTTGAGAAAAGTCTATAAGAAAGACTCACATTCCCTGAGAAGCATGCATAACATTAACAACACTCGTCTCTCGGACGACACTTGTCTCATGCGACTCTGAACACAGAGAACAAATTGTAAAGAACCAACGACACTCGAGTTACGTACTCGCGATGTGCGACGTAGTCATGACCCACGTGTGATTAGACTTTCTTGAATTTTCCCTTTGCTTTTTTCTCACCCTTTGCGACGAAAACCACTTTCTCATAAAGACTCCGACACTCAACCCTTGACATATTCGATGCGGCAACGTTGCAGGATATTGATTTTTCTTCTCTACCGACAGTTTCCTTGAGGGTGGCTTCGTCAAGATAAAATAAAGAGTATAAAATATATACTATTTTATAAATTAATAAAATATTTTTTGTCTACACATTCTGCTTTTGTAATATTTTAAATTTGCATTCTTATTTTGTTAATTTAAAGAGATACTTTATTGGCGTTTGCGATATTGATTTTTTATAATTTTAGCAATAATTTTTTTTTTTTAAATGTTATTCTTTTCAAGATAAGATTATTGATAATTTTATAAGCTTGCAAATAACAGAAAATAATTTTTTTGTTTTAACTATTATAAATTTATATAATTGGGAGAGCGTAGGTATTAATTTTGAAAAAGAAAAACTTGATATTTATAGATATTTAAAAAATACAACTTAACAATATCATTATTTACAGATTCCTATATTATTGACAGATTTTTCATAGATGATAATGATAATCTCTTCAAAATGTGATACGCTATATATTAATAAAATATTAACAATTCCAAAAATAACTTAAGAGATAATCATTTCTTATTATAATTAAAAATTTGTAAGATATTGTTAAAAAAATTGTTATAAAAAATAGACTAAGTAATTTTATATTATGACACTATCTGTCATATCGATTTGCGATATGAAAGTAAGTCTAGTTTTAAATATAATCAATTGTTACTAGTAATCAAAGTTTTAGATATTGCAACGAAAGTATGTCAAAATGTTAAGAAAGCAATATATTTAATGTAAAAATAAAAGTAGAATTGGCATATGTATATTTTTATGTTTATTATTTTTTCTTCACATGTCTTAATCCTAATCATACAAAAATTGTGAATGCAAATATTTTTTTTTATTATACACATTGCATTAATACAGTATATTTTTAATGATTTCACATAATATAAATCTCTTCTTTTTCCAAAAGTTTTATCTATTTATAAATTTAACTATTCGATAGATTTATCATTGACATTAAACTTGCATGTCGAAGAATTTTTAAATGATTAATCTTTCATTAAAAAGGGACAATTATACTCATATTAATCCTAATTTTATAAGGTTTCCTTATTAAATTTATAAAAGAATACTGAGATAAATATGTAACGCATGATAAACGCAATGAAAAGCCAACATTAACGACACTAAATTGAATAACTACGAGCAATATTATTAAGCTACCATTTTATTCCAAAATCCTATCTATTTATCTCATTTGTTAAATATTGTATTTTTAATTATATCTTCTAGCAGAGATTTCTTCATATTTGAAAATATCATAAAATAAAATTTTACAAAGAATATTATTACGTAAACTTGAATGTAGTTTTAAGTTATTTCTTCCTTTAAGATACTTCGTAATAATATTATCGTAATGATAGAAAAGATGATCTTGGAGCACGTGAAGTATCCTACTTTAGTTTGGGACTAAAAGGGACATGTAGATTATGAAAAGGGCGGGAGACAAACGAGCGGCGGAAGCGAGACGTGAAATTAACGAGCAAAAATAAACGTTTCCTCGATAATCTCGGTCGCTCGCAGAATTCCCGGCCGGCGTACGCGCTTCTCCGCTCTATTTACTTTTTCTTAGAGCCGAATGAGTTATCGCGTCGAAACCCCTCCGGGTTATCCTAATGAGCAGAAACGCCAATAAGCCAGTGAGTCTTGGCGGGGATAGGGTGCTCTTACGTCTTATTTTTAAACGGGGTGCCTGTTGACGAATTTGCGGACGCGCCGTCCGTCCGCGCCGTAAATGAAACATCGAGAGCACCTTCGTCAGCCCTTCTAGGAATGTTTAAATATAATAGGACGAGTATTTTTATTCCCTTGTTGTCAACGATAATTATGTTTGCTTTCTTTAAGATATAATCGAATGCATTATAGAAATGGGTTTTAGCTATGACGCAACAAGTTGACATAATTGTGAGGTAATCTCGTGTAAAAGACAACGCAAAATTTATTATTTAAAATTTTACAAGAAAATTATAAAAACTGAAAAAAAATTACAAAGATCTAGATATAACACGTTTCATTATTTTTATTAAATGCAATATGTGATTTATTTAAAAATAAACGAGAAAGAAAAGTGTCTGATACAATATATGCACGTAAGGTGCACTCCACGCACTTCATATATTTATGAATTTCTTTATTTTGCGAAATCTTTGAATATTCAAGAATATTATCGCGATATTATCACGAGTAATCGCGTCAAGGCGGGCATTAATCTCCCGCCAGAGCGGGGGTCGGCAGGTCGTGAGCCCTCTCCGGAATAAAGGAGCTCGAGCAAGGTATGGGGAAAGGGAGAAAGAGGACGAGGACGAAGAAGAGGAGGACGCAGCAAGAAAAATTGCGCTCGATGTCGTGGAAACGGGCGAAGCCGTAAAACAAACGGTCGGACGTCGCGCCTCTTTCTCCGCTTCTAATTCTGTCTTGTCGCCCCTTCGCCGGTTCTTCGTCGTGTATTTTCATAGCGCGTGTGCACCTAAGTGCCTTATCTACATGTTCTTCGGTCGCCGGATCTTGAGATTGGCCTGTTCTCGCGCCACGTGTCTCACACCTGAACCCTTTCGTATTTATTCGCCGTTCTTAACAAAATACATACTCTAAGATGACAATAAATCTACACTAGAAATAAAAATAATTTATGAATAAATTAGTAATTTATCAAGTTAAATTTTTTAAACTTGAAATTAATCTAAATTAAATAAAAAATATATATAAACAATTCGTAGCCAAAATGTTTTTTTTTTATAAACATATCTTTGCAATTTATTTATAAATAAATATAAATAAATTATAAATAAATAAAACTACATTTAATGATAATATGTCTGATGAAACTTTATAGTGCAATCTTTTTTATTTAATATATATATAAAAACTGCATTTTCTTCATATTAATTCTAATTATCGATTATTTCGTGTATTGATAAAGATTCGATGAGAAAATTGCAATTTTCTCTATTTGCAGACAATTATTGCATATGAGATTGTATCGTATAAATATAAAAGATACTATATTCTATATTTTCTAAATCCTAAATCTCATGAATTACAGATATCCTAGATCTTATGAATCCTAAACGATCGTACTCGGAGTCGAAAAGTCGACGCGTTGATCCAAACATTCCATGGGGTTTGCTCGCTATCGCGAAAACACCGTCCGCCTTTGAGGCCCTCCTCGCCGACAATCGCCATTGAGGGTTTTTACCCTCGTGGAATTCACAAAACGCTTTTACGTACGTGCTGATCGCATTGAAATGCAACTCGCGTCCTTCGATCTGGTCCATCGGCCCTCCATCTTCTATCCTTCCCCGGCCACTCTTCATCGATAGATTGCCCTCCGATAAACCACTAATCTGCTCCCAATTGCTTCTCTCCATCATCTTTTCTACTTACGATGAATACTAGTTTTTCTCGTTTTATTAGCGAATGTAAGAAATAACGTTTAGTAGTTTAGTACGCATCAATATGACAATAATCATTCTATACTCTTCAATAAATCACTAATTTGCTCCCAATTGCTTCTTTCCACCAACTTTTCTGCGATGAATATTTTTTCTCATTTTATTAGCGAATATAAGAAATAATGTTTAGTAGTTTATTTTGGAACAGCGTTCTAGGATTTTCGTAATCTAGGATCGGAGGATTCCGAGAGAAGTGTAAGAGCGACCGCTGTGACTCGTTCGCATAAACGCGCAAAGTCGAATGCGGACGTGATTTATGCCGACGTAAAAACAACCGGCGGAACGTATTCGAAATAACCGCGGAACGTCCATATATTCCAACGGAACGTTAAACGTTTACGCGGCAGACGTTTAACGCGCATTGACCACATGGTTCGCCTTTACGTTGTCAACAGTGGCTCCGGCGTGGTTCGTGCCGTTGGTTGTTATCGCTTCTCTCTTCCCGCCACAAGAACACGTGCGATATTTTCAAAAAAAATTATTTCCGACCGTCGTTGACCGGTCAGTTATAATTAAATTATGTCTATCTATATATTCCCTGTATAACGTTCAATAAATATTAAGTTCTAACTCGAGGAATCTAAATATTTCAAAGTCAACATTGTTTGGAGTCGTAGATGATATAATTTTATTTTGATTTCTCGCATTTCATTTAGTTTTTACTTGTTCCTCTTCTATCTTTATTTCAATATAGAGAGAATATGATTATTGCCATATTGATCGACTAAACTAGTTTAGTTGCCATCAATATGGACTTTGCGCGTTTATGCGAACGAGTCACCGCGGTCGCTCTTACACTTCTCTCGGGATCCTCCGATCCTAGATTGCGAAAATCTTAGAACGCTGTTCCAAAATAATGAAATACTCTTGGTTATTTTATTATCAGTCTGAAAAAACTTACTAACGATTATGTATGAGAATGAAGAGAAGAAATACAGGAAAGAACAGTTTTGTTGAAATGTCTAAAAATTTGGATTCAGATGGAAATCTGAATATAATTTTGTTGAAAAATATTTTAGCAATTAATTTGAGTGTACAAACATTAATTTGAGTCCTACATAATTATTTTAATAATTCAACAAAAGTATTTTCAAATCTGTAACTAGTGAAATTTTTTGATACTTCAGCAGAACTGTTCTTCCCGTATGTTAATTCATACCTAAAAACTCTCAGTATTTGTTCTCTCTGTTTTAATTAAAGTAAATTTTAAACGATAATGGATCAGAAATCTTAATAGACATTAAAATAAATTTATTCGAAGGTATTTAATTTAAATTTGATGATCATACGCAAAGATAGGGATATGATATCATGTTACGATGTTAAATACTGAAGATAGAAGTCTCGGCGCTTTTTGCGCGGCGAGTAATGGCGCTAGAGCTAAGAAGTTAATTTATGAATGTATTCTGCGACGTGTCATACAAAAGGAGATAGACTGCACTGTCCACGTGTCGGTTGTCGCGCTGGGAAGGATATTTAGTCGACTTCTTCGACGGTTGGTGATCACCTGCTCGATCAGTAGGGCATTGCACGTTTGGTGACTGCAGAACTGGAACTGTCAGCACAAGATGTTGGAACGACAAGTGACGGTAATCTATGCGTACGAGTGGCGATGTCGCCATGAAACACCTGTACATTTTGCCTGCGACTGGTACAAAGTGCGTAACATTCAAGAATTGATCATACACACAAACATTGCACACCTGATGATGATCATGTCTTTTTATTTTTTTTACGCATCAAATTTACGTCAAAAGTGTTAATTATTTTTTAAATATTTGCCTTTTGTGAGCAATCAAGCAAGAAAATTGTGTACTTTGCGCAATATTATCAGTGCAAAAAACGATAAATCAAGATAAAACCAAAAATAAGAAAATTTTTTTTATTTTCACACGTTTTTTATATAGTTATAAAAATGTTGTTTATCTAGCATAAAGAAAACTTATTTATCTGTTTTCTTCAAATGTAGAAATTTGATATTAAATTTATGTAGTAAAATATCTAGTTTAATCTAAAAAAATTAGAAAAATATTATTTTATAGAATAAAGATTTATTTTTTATTAGCTTTTTTGTAAATAAGTAATAATCTAAGATATTTAAAAAAAAAAGAAACAAATCTTCAAAGATATTTATCTGAAAGATATTCATCTCATTACTGTAAGAGAGAAGGAAGGAGAGCTACGGAGAAAGGGCGGGACGGAAATGTTCTCGGAAGGGGATGAAAATTTTTATTTGGCGTTTACGAGCCGATTCAGAACTGCGGAAGGACCCTGCCCCAAGGAAGGACGCTTTAATATCCGCTTATGACGGCTATGTTTCACAGTCTGAGACACCCACTCGGCCCCATTCCGCCCCATCAACCCCCATAGTGCGTTTAATTTACGTGTTTTCGCGAGTTATTCGCCCTCCCATCCCTATGGCCCTCGTCGAAGAGGGTCGGTCGCCATGACGACGCCGGGCGTCCCGGCGCCCAATCGTAGGGCGCCTACATCGCGTCGACGTCGGCTGTACGAGGACGAGAAGGACGATAATAATTGATGGGGAAGGAAGGGTATCCCGGTGAGTGCGCGGGGGTGCGCGGACGGATGGTCGGCGGTTTCGAGGGATGTAGCGGGGATTAAATCGACAATCGAAAAGCGTCGCGCTTCATCCGTCGCCGTCGCTCGGAAGTTCATTGCGGGATAAAAATAAGAGAAAGGATTCGCCGGGAATACCCTCGCTCTCGGCAATACGAGGTCGCGAACTCGAGCACGCAGGAATGCAAACGCGTGAGAAAGTCGAGGCATCCAAACAATTCAAGATGCAAAAATTTAGAAATTCAGTTGTTTAAGAATACGTGCGAATCTAAAGAGGAATGTATAAATTTACAAATTGGTGTCGTAAAAATTTAAGAGAGACAGAACGTTTGAAATCGAAACGTTACTACATGCAAGCACGAGATACCTCTTTCAAATAATTCTAGGATATTTGTATATTTGTATACATTTTTTCATCGTGATTGATAAGGGGACCAATGGAAATTTCGGATTCTTTAATCTTTTTATCTTCAACAATGTCGTCAGCATCGATTTCCAAATATGCGAATCTAAGAGTCCACGGGGAGTCCGAGGATTCACGGCCGTCAGAATCTAGCTTGGAAAGAGACTCGCGGCTCGTGCGGTACCCCCGCTATGCGACGCTCAAATTCCGGTGACTTGTGGTGTCACTCGTTGAATTCCGTCGAGCCTAACGACGATTTCCTGTCCGTCGTGCCGAGGACGAAGAGTATTTCAGATACGTACGTACCAGGCGACGTACAACACAGCCGTCTCCTGGTCCATCATGCGGTTCGGCATTCGCGAGAGATGAGCATTCAAACGAGGTTCATCTCCTCCGCTTCGCATGGTGGTTAATCCCATAAGGTTTGCTTCACATCGCAGGCATGACTCCATTTATATTCCAGTCACGATCACGATGAAACAGCTTTGCAATAATATCGTACGTACAGAAACAAAGGGAGATGTAAAATTTATGAATTTGTAATCTTTTCATCGATATAGTTCGCTAATACATTTATGTATCACCGATTAAAACGGAGTAAAGAGATGTAATTAATTGCGACTCGTCGTGTAGCGTGAAGATGTAAACGCGATCGTGTATTGAGATCGTGGTCCAGCACGGAGACAGCACGATACAAACAAAGATTTTATCTCGGGCAGATGATCACGATGCCGAAGAAAGAGACTGGTCTCTTTCTTTCTCGTTTTTTCTTCGATTCTTCGAGGTGCTACTGCCGATTTGCATAAGATCAGTTTAAGGCCGATTAAACTAAGGCCGATAGAATCGCCCTCGACTTCGGCTCGAATCGAAATCGCTGACTTTCAGCATTTCTTTTTTCTTCAATCACTTAACTTGCGAAAAAGTATGCTGCGAATTCGCCAACGATTTTTAAAGTTCTTTTTCTCTTCTTAATTTGTCTGTCGCTCAATATTTTGTTAGTCTCGTAAAAAATTTGTTAAGTTTCATGGAAGAGAAAGTCCATAAACTTTATTGATTGTTCTTCACTAATGAAAGATAAAAGATACGAATTTCATTGATTACCGATTGCAACTGCGAATTTGTTTGCACAGTTGTTATCATTGATATAAATATGTCGAAATGTGAAGTAGCATCAGTGTCAGAATTATTAATCGCGGATTATAAAGCTGTTTAAGAAAAAATTGCGTCGAACATGTTATTCAGTGTAGGTTCATTTTTATTTTCAATAACTATAGTGTTTGTTCAGATTGTGCAATAGGTTATGCATAACCAAAAAAAATGTTTTTATATTGTATAAAAAATCTTAGAATCTAAAAATCATAAAATTAAGAAAGAATTAATTTAAATGATTTAAGATTTGAGATTTTATAATAAAAATGTATGTGTATGTGTGTATGTCTTTTCTAAGATTTGAATACACTAAATTTTAAAATATGAGATTTTAAAATTTGTGAACATATTAAACTATTTAAAGTTAATAATAAATTAATAATTAAAAAGAAAAAAAATAGTGTATATACGTGTATATTAAATATTAATAGAATAATAATTTAGAAAATTTGTTTCTTTATTAATATTACAGAAATCTTGGGTAATTATGGTAATTATTGCTGCAATGATATTGATAGTACAAGCCAAATGGTTTCAGCCAAATAATAGATACGGAAGCCACGAATGGAATCCCATCAAAATTTAAATAATTGTTTACTTGTGATAAAATACTATAAGAATACTCCAAGAGAATAACGTTTCGAAAATGAAGACTAAACATGCAGCGATCTACAAAATATACAATTTTGAATTAAATACAAATTTACATGGATATTACAAAATTATGTTGTTAAATATAAACTTTGTAATTTATTTTATATGTGTTCATATTTTATTTTTACATCAGATTACATAAATATTTTGTATCGATATGCATCATAAAATGTTTCCAGAATTTAAAAACATTTCTTTTAAAAACATTTCTTCTTTTTTAAATTCGGATTGACATTAATACGTTAACATTCTTTATCAGCTTGTGTGATTGGCTATCAGCTATCAAAGCGTTAAAATCAATGTCAACGCAAATATGTCGAGTATACCGAAATTTCGCAAAGAGACAGACATATGGCGATCGTGACATTGTATGCATATTGGACAGCTGGACAATGTGGAAACTTGTACTTGTATCCAAATGATTTACGCGCATTTCCGCGACATAGACTATACACACATTTCTTGCATATCTCC